ATGTATGTACCGGTACGTGTTCCAAAGAGGCCTTCATGTACTTTTACAAAGTGTATTCGAAAGAGGACTTCATGTACTTTTACAAAGTGTATTATTCTAACATGTACTTTTTGCAATGAATTGTCATAGGTGGCCCATGGTATTGGAGGCACGTCTCTTACTCCATCGGACTTCATAAGTGAGACACAGGGAAGTTTGATGAGTGCTCCAACTCAGATTTATGGTTCTGCATCTCTAACCCCATCAGATTCTCAGGCATGCACATCGGGAAGCTTGGATTTTACAGACTTGTTTGACTAGTTTCTATGTATTCCAACTGTTTGTTTTTTAGATTGGAAATTATGTAGTCTATTAATCTGAGTTTCAAACTTTGTTTTTGAGATTATAGCTTATGTTACAACTTTGTTATTGACATTCAACATGTGGATTTGTAAAACATGTGGTGTACTAATTATTAATGAAGTTATGTTATTATTATTATTTGTTATGTAATGAAGATGTTGCAATATTTAGTAATGAACAATGTTTATTTAGCAGTTCTTTGTATTGAACAATGTTTGTTGAACAGTTTTGATGTATTCAACCATGTGTATTCAATAGTTTCCCTGTGATGAACAATGTATATTCAGTAATTTCCCTGTATTTAACAATGTATATTCAATGATTTCCCTGTATTCAATGATGTATATTAAATAGTTTCACTGTATTCAACCATGTATATTCAATAGTTTACCTGTATTTAACAATAGTTACCTTGTATTCAATAGTTTCCTGTATTTAACAAAGTTGATTTAATGAGTATAGAACAAAGTATACAAGTTTCAATAAGTCATTTTCCATTCCATTCACCACAAAAGAGGTACAATAATATCCAGTCTACTTGAACTTCCTCGAAAACATCACAAAAGTATTCAGTCTACTTGAACTTGTACATTGCATCTACTTCTACTTCTAACTTACATATATGTATATATATGTTATTACATATTCATAAGTTTAAAGACACCAATTACAAGCAACACAGACAATATACATATCAATTTTTGCATCTTCGCGTTCTGAATTCGAAGTTGTTCCGTCATCTTTATTTGTTGTTCAGTCATAGCTCGAAGTTGTTCGGTCATAACTTGCTCGCCGACAGTTGGCACTTGTCTCTTGGAATGTGATGATCTTTATATTCTGGATTCGTAAGTAAACACCATCCGATAAAACCACAATTATTACAAGAGTAGAATAACTTGTTTTTGTTTCGATTGGTTTGTGATATTAAAATGGTGGCCTTCTTATCACATGTACAACAATTTCTGTTGACGTATGTCAACCAATCTGAGCTACTGCCACTGCCACTGACACTTGAACTTGACATCTGCAAAAATGGACAAATATTAACATGACAACACTTGCATATATTCATTATGAAGCACATTAAAAATAAAAACCAACAAGAAAGTTTCAAACCAGGCACACTTCATCCAATCAAAGGAACACATTTATCATAGTACTAGTCCTAAAGTTAATAAAAAATAATTCACAGAGAGGTAGTGAAGCTGCCATTCTCAGATTGTCACGCTACTGCTACTGAGAGATGGAGTTCGACTGATGGGTTTCAAGGTGCACTACCTTCTGCATAAGCTCAGAATCAGAATCACCCTTGGAGGTGATTCTGAAAATCAGCTTATTTACCCATCAAAAAAGATGTTATAAGTTTTAGTTGGTGTCATAAAGCTGTAACAAACAGTTAGATTCTGCTTTATTTAAGCTAAAATCTATAAGTTGAGTAGAATATGGGCAGTAACAGTATGGAATTAGAAGTTAAAAGGAGGTGTGGTGATGGCTTATGAGGACAAAAGTGTCATTTTAATCAATGGAACAATAAACGTACGTGGAACCATAGAATTGGTTTGTGATATTAACTACTCATTTATTTTTGCACTTTGTAATGCTATTTAAATTCTTACAGGGACAGGGTGCTTGTGACTTCATTCAATCATTGGATGCTACTAGTAGTCATTCAGATAGAAGTGTTATTTCTCAGTCTACATTGACCAACTGTTATGACACTAGCCCCTCAAGCAATGACTTAGTTGAGGATGGGGATTTCAGCCAACAAGGGATGGATGTTGTATCACATGTACTGAACAGTTCTGAACATCCTCAAAAGTTGGGGGCAATTTCTGAAATTTCTAAGAGAGATAAAGTGAAGCTGATGAATTTTTAGGCCCAAGATGAGCTTATGCGAAAGCATTGTAAACGGCAATGACATGAGGCTCCAGAAGTTGATGGTTTCATCCTTGATGTCAACACATTTTCTTTGTTTTCATGTGTCAATCTTACTTTAAAAAAAGAAGAAGAAAGGGATTTGTATAAAAAATCTGGACACATTAGTCTTCAAATGATCAAGTAAAACCTGTTTCATTTTAGAAGATAGATAGATAGATACAGGTTTTCATAATTTACCTTTTCATTTAATGGGAAAACCTGTTTCATAGATACAGGTTTCACAGATTATGAACAGGTTTATGAATAGATTTATGAAATTATGAAAACCAAGATTATGTTTCATAATCTTGGATCCATCCTGTTATGTTTTATAGATACAGGTTTCATAGATTATGAACAGGTTTCCAAGATTGGGATAGACAGGTTTATGAAATTATGTCTATCCTGTCATAATCTTGGATAGACAGGTTTATGAAATTATGAAATTATTCCAAATTCAGCTTATGAACAGGTAACCTGCGTAAATCACAGATATACATCACTGTCATAAAAAGTTGGTTTATAAATCACTGTCATAAAGCTTTTATAAAGCTGAATATGAACAGGTTTTACATTTCATTGAGGAATTTCATCGAACATATTTATGGCAATGTAAGACTCCAAATGAAAAAGCCACAATTTCCAAATGAAAAGGCCAAATTCATTCCCCAAGATCAGATAACATGATAGAGAAAATCAAAAGGCCAAATTCAAATTTAATTTTTCAGTATTCAATCCAAATTCAAAGTATTCAGTATTCAATCCAAATTCAAGTATTCAGTATTCAATCCAAATCCAAAGAGTGATTTACGCAGATATACACAGATAGATAGATAAATAGATATATACACAGATATATATCAGATATACACAGATAGATAGATATATATAGGTTTTACAGATAGATATATATACAGATATATATATACCCAGATAAATTTACCTCTTAATCGGATTTTCGCGAGTGAAGGGAAGGAGCTGTGTCAGAGTAAAGGGAAGAAGTGGTTGTCGACGTCGGAGTGGGGGTCATGTGTTGGAGTGGTTACCGTTGGAACGAAGACATACGTGTTTGAGGAAGGGAGATTTCAAAATGAAGACCGAAGATGTGTTTGGGTCTTAACGTCACGTGGCAATCACGTGATGTGCCACCTCAGCTAGGGGTCACTGGGGGTCTCCAATACTAGGGGTGCGAAGCATTTTTCTTTTTTTTTTTTTTTTACTATTGATCAGTAATAATCATGATTAACCACTATCACCTCGGTTGGGGTGCCATGCGCTAGTATCGTTTCCGATAAGAAAACATACTCTGCCGGGCAAATCCATGGATGAAACGGCATCATTTTGGGAAAAAAAACAAAAACAAAAGACAAAGTTTACATTTTATTCATTATATCATTTTAATTTGTACAATTTCAATTAGCTCAATTTAATCCAATTAATAAAATTCAAAAAAAAAATTACTAAATTAGTTAAAATTAATTTTAAAAAGACTTCAAAATTTTATTATCTGGCCAGGTTAACTAAAAAAAAAAATTCAAAATTGTTTAAGATGATCTAAATAAGTATATTTTTTAATTTTTTATAAAAAAAATATGAAAAAAAAAATAGAGAGATGATGTGATTCAAATAAATATACTTATCTAAATAAATGTACTTATTTAGATTATGCCAAATAGTTATCTGGCCTATCCCTCCAAGACTTGTTGGGGTTCTTTGGATTAGTTGGGAAAATGGGTTATGGCCCTAAACCCTGGCAACATATAGGAATTGCAACCATTAACCTTGTTCAACTTTGGTGAATGCAAACTGCGCTTTCTTTTGGAAACTGATTCCCAATTTCCTTTATAATTTTTAACCAGTTATTTGAAATAATTTAGAAATAATAGAGAGTAATTATTCTGGCTTTCACATAATTGAGTTTCTCATAAATTTCAGAAAGCAAACTACCTAATTGATGAGTTGACAAACCAAATATTGTATATTCAAAACGGTTTGTGTTGCTACTCAACCAGCTGACGTGCCCTTGAGTCAAACCACATCTATGGTCAGTGTTGATTTCCTTGAATTAATGTGTGTGGGTTGGGTTAGGCTTACGGGATGGACACAAACTTTTTTAACAAATTAAAAACAAAGTATGAACTACATATTAAGCAACAATATAGACAAAAGCATTAAACACAAAGAAAGATATAGTCGTTATTATTATTATTATTTGATATTTTATGGAAATTTAACATTATTATTATGTTCTGATCTCTAAATATTCATGAAGAATTGCCTTCGATGCTCTCCTCATCACAGAAGTTATGAAATTCCCTCATCCACGGCAAAAGGTAAATTAATGTAAAATTCGGAGGATCCACGCCAATTTGCGTTCTGGGCCATTGTCCCATTGGCTTGCATGCATAAAAGACATCAGAAGTGTCCTATTCCAAACATTAATTTTTGATACACTGAATTTTTTTTTATTTATAAATAATGCGTGATTTAAATTTATTCTAACTATGAATTTTATCCTATAAAAATTAAATCTAAACTACATATTGGCTCCGTTTGGTTTGGTTTTTAGAATCTGTTTTAAGAAATTTTTTCTTTTAATCTAAAAATTAATTTGGTGATTTTTTAAAAAAAAAAAAAAAAAAAAAAATCATTTTTAACATAATATTGGAAATGGAAGTTGTGACATGGATTACGACAAAAGCAACAATAGACATCTCTTGCAACAATTCAAGACCCGTGAAATGGGCAAAAAGAAAAGAACTATGTAATTAATCTTTTGAATTGATTAGTACTCCAAATGAATTGCTGAAAATCTTGAGGCAAACAATACATTAATCTCTCCTAAAAACTGAATCTCTCCGACTCCAGTCATTGCTTTTCTTTTTGTTCCTTCGAAAGTAGATGCGTCACTTTAGCCACTAAGGAATAAAAATAGATGATATTCAATGGGTCATCTCCTCTGCATCCACTGCAATTTATCTTCAAAGCGACACACTCGGGAACTTGCAAGAGCCATGGCCTATTCAATAAAATTATCCAAAAAAAATTCAAATGTTAGAAAACAATTTTGTTATCCTCAATTTTTCTATCTCAATGCTCTATTCCCTTCTCTTAAAAATAAAAAATTCAAAAAAAATCAACTTACTTGGATCGACTGTGGTTTGAATGGCAAGTCCATTGAAGTAACAACTCGCACTAGTATTCCGAAACTTAGCCCAATATGAACTAAATGCATAACTTGCATGTGCAGTCACTAAAACTGGTTCATAACACTCTCTCCCCGGATCAAGCGCCTCGCACCTTTCATTGCCCTCTCCGCATGCATTCATTATTGCCGACTCTAGCTCTGCTTCATCCGCTCCCTTTGCAGCCACACACCATATCTTTCCCCGGTACGGCGTGTTATTTTCTGGCTGTGGCAACCTCCTAGAGCCACTTTCCACCTGGTTCCGCCTCAGGTCCAACTCGTAAACTGGCCTTCCATTAGGATACAGCAAACCCCAATGCCTCTCCGTCCCCGGCCCACTCTTTTGATTTTCATTATATAGTGAAAATATGAATGTCGGTATGGCCACCCCGGGCCTAGCCGGTGTCCCCAGCGGTGGTCTAGCTGTCATCTTTCGGATTAAATTTCGGTTATAAGTGGCTGCATTATACACATTTGCACCTATTTGATCAATGTCCCCGCCATTTGGCCAACCGGTCTCTGCTATCCCTAACCTGACATTTTGATACCCTAATTTGGCCATGGCAAATATCATAGAGTCTAGCATTTGGTCAAGCAAGTTGGTGTAATTCAACTTGCTGACCGGGTCAGTGTAGGTTAGGTTTCCACCATTTCTAAATAAGGCAAAATCGAGGCTCATGTTGACCGGCTTCGCTGACCATGGAAAGTAAGGGTAAACATCGATGAAAAAATAAGAATTAGTCCTGTTTAAAAAATGTAACAATGGTAGCATCACTTGGTGTGATATGTCAGACCTAAAAGACCCGCTCGAAGGTGGGAAGGTCGATCCCAATATGTCCATTGCCAAAGGTGTCCCGATTTTAATGTTTCGAATGTTTTGAGCTACGAGGGAGTTCTTGATTCGTTCCATGGCAGGGACAAGGTGGTGCCATATTTGTCGATCTTGGGAAGAATTATAGCTGAGGATTTCATTACCAACTAGTATGAATCGAATCATCGTGTTGGGATAGTATGCGAGGACGTTTTCGAGTACCCATTGGTCTGCTATTGCTTGGTTTGAAGAAATGTTTGAGATTTGATCATTTGTGACCATGATTGAGACTTGGAGCTTGGAACCTGATAAGAGTCTGAGTATTTCAGGGTCTGCATCATAGATCTTCACTCGACCGGCTTTCATGTTTTTTATGAGTTCGATGGATTGATAGGGAGATGGTAAATTGTTCCCTAGCCGCCCGTAGTTTATTCCAATCCTGTTTGACATCTTTGCATCTGTTGAGGGAAGTTAAAGAAGGATCAGAATACCAATATACTTACAAATTTTTTTATTTTTCTTTTGAACAATGTTAAGCATCCGAAATTTTAAGTCACATAATAAATTTTTGGGCAAATTTCTAATCAAGTTTTCTGGGTTTTCTGTTTTTATTGGCTCAAACTTCTCTCCCAGTATAGAGTAAACTAAACAAGTATAGATTGGGCTCGTAGGTCTACCCAGTCCACTTCAATAATTTGATTTGTAACTCATCATTCATAAAAAATAAAAATTTAAATTTAAATTAAACTGATACTTATAATCACATTATTTTTATATAAAAAACTAGTTCATATTTTAAAAACTAATATGATGAAATTACGTGGCTAAATTTTTAGTATAAATAATTTTTTTTTAATGACCAATGATACTGTGCCAAATTAGATAGTAAATAAAATATTATAAAAAAATATGATAATAATAATAATAATAATAATATTAGTAGTAGTAGCAGCAGTAGTAAAAACCACTAATTCGTTTGGCATAAAATGACTGGGTTAAAATAGTCACAAAAAGATAAAATAGGTTAAAAAGCTAACAAGACAAAATATTATATTCAAACCATAATCATTTTATTTTTTTTTCTCACAAAAATAAAAAAATCAAAAAGCCTACCATAAATGAGACTTTTTAACTCTAGGCTAAAATAGCCAAAAAGCTAACTCACGTCCCAAACGAAGGCTAAGAAACTAAAATTGACAAACATGCCTTAATTCAACTTAAGGGAACTCACTTGAGAAAGTAATGAGAAAGAAGAGACAGACAAATGCCACATCTGTCATGCTGTGTTTGTCCATCTCAAAAGCTTCCAAGAGACCCACAAAATGGGATGGTTGAGAGAGAAGAGAAGCAAGGAAGAATGAAAGCAAGAGTATGAGGAAATGAAAGTAAGAGGATGAGGTGTATATATAGTGAAGAAGTGTATAAAAAAATTATAAAAAAAAAAATCATGAAAACTGTTCAACTACCAGGCAATCTCAAGAGATATGGAAGTTTTTCTTTTTGGAAAGTTTTTAAGCTCAATGGTCTTTGTGAGAGTCACAGAAAGATAGTGACATTATATTTCAATTGTCTGTTGTGGTCCACGAAAATAAAGAAGACATTACAAAACATTGTTGGTGAAAAAAGCAAAGATTATGAAAGCAAAGCAGTGGAAGTGATTCGATTTGGTTTTTCATATTTTTTGTACTCAATTTTGAAAAAAGATTGTGAATGTGAAAAGAGTGATGTCTAACGAATTCCAAGGCCATGAATTGGAAGGCCTTTGCCCAAGTGACCAGTTTCACTAGTTCCAAATTTGGCATTTTGGAGGGCAAAGATCCTTCGCATTTTGATCGAGAACTTGATGCCACTGTTATACTACGTTTGGATTGAAGAGAAGTCCACGTGTCTTCTCCTTACTTGAGTATTTACTAAGTAGGAGATGAAAGGAATTATAGAGTATTGAAATCCTTTTATTTCACTTTTCTGTTTCAAATATTACATAAAAATTCTCTAATTGTTGCACTAACCCATTGCCATTCTTTGAGCGTGGCAAAAACTTTTCGAATGCTGAGTTTTAGTGATTTACACAGCAAGGGTCAATCCTGGGGTACAAGGGAAAAGGTTCAATTTTATACTTGGTGACATGGCAATAATTTGTAAACAATGGGATAGAACATTAGGACATGAAATTGGAACAAAGGAAAATACTTGAACTTGGGTCAGTCCGTCTTAAAATTTTAAAGCCCAGGTCCTGCTCATGGACGGAAAAATATAGACTTATGGGCTTTATTTTGGGCTTGTCCAATATGGGTCTAACTTGGGCCAGTCCGTCTTAAAATTCATTAAGGAATGAACAATGAATTATATTACAAATTTTTAAAGTGTATCACAACAATTAGAATTACATATTGAATAATGAAAAATTAAAAACAAACTTTATTTATTGAAATACAAAATTACATCTCTAGAAATGTAGCTTATAGTTTCATAGTTGACATTTTATTGAGTCTGTTTCTCAATTTTACTCTTGTTATCTTACCAAAAATCCATGCACACAAAAACATAGAAAAAAAAAGAAAAAGAAAATAAGAGATATTGAAAAGAAAAATAGTATTCATTATTTAACATACTGGTACCACCAGGACTATTACCATTGTCACCACCTCTCCACCGCAATTATTATCATTGTAACATTATCATACGTACTATTATTATTTCACTATTATCATCAAGGTCGCCATTATTATTATCATCACCTCTCTAGCATAATAGCACAACAACCAAAACCCTCTACCTTCACTACACCACCCCTCCACTATACCACAACCACTATAACCGCTACCACCACGCACCATTGTAATATAAAAATTGATTTGTTTTTCAAAATAATAAATTTGAAATTTTCTTTTGTACATATCAAATAAATCAGTATAATTCAAAACTTAAAACTTTTATCAAATGAATTGCCAACTCAAAAAAATTGAATTTATACCTAAATCATGCTCTTAATGGTTTAATTGTGCGGACGCAATGTTTGACAAATGCGAGCAAGTACCAAGAGTTGCATCAATTGCATAGCAAATTTGGGCTTTTGACTAAGGCCAAGTTTGGGAAGTGTAAAAAAAGTTAAAAAGTTAAAAAATTACTTAAAAAGTTAAAAAGTTATCATTATTCATCAAAAATCAAAAATTACGGTTACATAACTCTCAATCTTAATTTTCTCCTTTACACTAATTTATACAATTTTTTAATACACATTTTTTCATAAAAAGTCAAAAAGTTAACCCAAACATTCATATTTTTTCCCTCAACTTTTTAGTCTAAAAAAACAAAAAAAAGTACACTTATTTAGGACACTCCAAACAATCCCTAATAGTAATAAAAAAATCCAGAGACACTTCCTAATTAAATGCACTTCTTATTACATGATCTGTTTTTTTGTTAGGCCCCCCTAATTCATGGCACTTTTTCCGCTAGACCAATTTTGTGGGAAAATTATTGATAAAGATATGCCACCTTCACATTTGATCATATCATATGATTAGTATTTACTAGTCATTCTCTCCATGATTTATTATATCACTACCTAACTATAACTAATCATCCTCCTTGGCCCATTTCCAGGCAGCCCAACTGCCCCCACATGCCATCATGATTAGGCACTAAGGTCAACGTGTGTGATTAAATCTAGTGATATATAGTATCATCTTTTATATAGTATTTCATATAAAATTATTTTACTAAATTTAATAAATGTTACCACTCACATTTATTAAAATAATATACTAATGACATTATATGATAAACAAAATATAATACATATCTAATGATAATCATAATGTTTGATTCGTTTTTGGACTAACTATATAGTTAGTATAACATGACAAAAAAATAAAAAAAAATAAAGATATTTAAAATGCCTTATATGTAAGCTTTATTATAGGCGTTGGAGCAATTCTAACATTTTTTTGTTGTTACATTTAATGATTTCTAATATTGCAGAGGTCTCATCTGTGGCATGCAAATGCACTTGTGGTAATTAAAGAACTAACTGTCACAGCACTACCCGAGATGAGTTGTACTGAGATGGACCTAACAACTCTCCCCTTTGAAATCTCCTATCATCTAGGGCTCTTGCGATGTGTAATTATTATACATAATAAAATCATATTCATAATCACATTTTTATGCCTTTTTAGGATTGGTGTGGGTATGGTTTATTTAGTGATTTTTTTTATAAATATATGTATAAAAAAATAGAAAGGTGGTATGATAACTTGTATCAAATAAATCAATAAGTAGTTTAGTGGCGTTTTGAGAAGTTAGTAAAAAGTTGACTTTTGACTATTTTAGCCAAAAAAGTTAGCTATTTAGATAGTCACTTGAGTAAAAAAGTTAACTTTTTTGACTAAAAAAACTAAAAGCTAGCTTTTTTAGAACTTACCAAAGCAAGCCTTAATAGGTGGTTAGTATTCTTGTTATTCAAACTGAGACTTCATTTGACAATCTTTAAATAAGTAATGTTATAATTAAAAAAGTTACAAGTAAAAATGTTGCTCGGTTTAGCTAAAAAATAACTTTCAAAAATATTAACATATTTGTTAAATGACAATTTTTTACCCACTATAGAAAAATTGTAATATGATAATTTCACTAAAAAAGTTAAACAAAATTTTCTCCATAACCAAAAAAACAAAAAAAAACAATTTTTTTAATGCTTACTAAATACATCAATTTTTTTTAAAAAATTTTAAAAGTAAATTAAAATTTAATTATTTAGAAGTTAAAAAAGAAATGTTATGAATTCTTTTTTATTATCAACTTTTAGTTAACAACAAATTGTATCAAATTACCCAAATTCTTTACACATCTACCAAATATATTCCCCCGGCCCCCGCCAAAAAAAAAAAAAAATAGCTTGAGAAAAAAAAATAATAAGTTGACTTTTAGTTTTGAAAAATTTATTAAAAAATTCTCTTCAAGTGTTTGTATTTCAATTAATTCATAAAATATTTTTATATTCCAATAAGTACTATTATTTGAATATTTGATCTATCAAGTCTTAATTTTCATATTTAAGATATTTTATGGACATTTCTACCTTTGTAAATATTTTTTAAATGGTTAGCAATTTGGTAATGTGACGTGTGATTGTTCACCTTAATAATGTGAATATTCACATTAAGAGGTTAACATTCAAATTGATAGTGTGAACATTCACATTGATAATGTAAACATTCACATCACAAAATATTCACACTGTAAATGTGAATATTATTAGAGGTATTTTGATAACTATGTCACTCATAAAATTTATTAAAATATAAAAAAATAATATAAATTAAATTAAATATAAATAAATAAAATGAAATTTATGAAAAAGCATCACTTATTTTTAAAATATGCACCTGGATGGTAATTTTCCCTTGAAAAATAGGTAAAGTTCGCACCACTATGAAGTTAGTGTGAACAAACTAGACAATTAATTACCAAACCTTTTCATAATTATCATAGAGCTCCAATATTCTCATAAGGTCCCTATCAAATAAATGGCTTCAGCAATAGATTACTTCAACATGGAAAATGTTATATATTTTAAATTTTTTATTAAATAAATAATTAAATATCTTACAGTTACAGTGGGGTTTATACCACATTTATTACCAATCACCACATTTCGCCATGTGGCCATGCCAGCTTGAAAATACCTGCCCTACAAAAATATCAATACAAGTAAAAATCATCAACTCAAACTATAGTCCCATCATTTTCATTATTTAAGTCCAAATAATACTAATACTAGTTTCGTGTTGTGTTTGGTAACCAAACCATCAATTTCTCTACCCAAAAGCCAACCAAAAGATTGAGAAATGGTTACCCCAGATGCCATAAACATGTCCACCACCACAAACACTCTTTTTCAGCTTGGTGTTTTCTTTCTTTCTTTTTTTTTTTTTTTTTGAGTAAAAGGGGGCCAATAATAAATCAGCACAACATGTGCCCTTGTACTTGCCGTCTCATCCCATGTGAGGAGAATACTTCGACTTCTGCCCCACCGCCATAATCTTTTCGGATGAGGTTTTTTTTATAATCATCAAATTAATTATATTAAATAAATAAAAAGTTGACCACAGGCTGATTTGAAAAGTTGGCTATTCTAATTATTTTTTTTATTATTTTAATCTGAATAAAAAAAAATTATATTTGAAATGTTAGTTGGCTTTTTTTTTTTTAATTGATTTAATGATTGTGAAAAAAAAAATAATGATTATGATTTAAATGTGACATTTTATTTTATTAATTATTTTAGTCTATTTTAATTTTATTTTCTATTTTAGTAAAAAAAACCATTGCCAAACCAAAGTGGTTGTGTGTGCAACCTTGCACACTATATATGCATAATTAATAAAATTATATAAATCTTTACGAATTTATATAAGTGATTTCACAAAATGTATAAATTAAATATAATTTCACGTAAGTTTATTCATAAAAAATTTGAAATTTACATAATCATAAAAGTTTCACAAACTTACATAAGTCATTTTAAAAAAATATGTAACTCAAATTGTAAAATTATATAATAAATGTACATGCATATGGTAAGTAATGTACATGCTTTGGTTAGAAAATTTGAGAAGATATTTAGAAAAGAAAAAAAAAGAAGTAGATAAAATATAAATAAAATATACCTACATTTTATTTAATTTCACAGATATTTTTCCTTTTCTTTTTCCTTTCTATTTCCAATCATTCTCAAATCCTTTAACCAAACACAACATAAGAGTTTGTCTAAAAATATGCTTACATGTTTTTTTAAATAAATATTAGACAATGAGTGTTTTTTTACTAGGGTCAGAAGATTAGATGGTGCGGTTAAACTCTTCTGGATCAACTACTATTCATTTTTCATGGTCTCTATTTATCGATCAACCATAAATAATCAAACAGGAATACTCAAAAAAGCATAACAACACAATTCAATCTTTACTCCCATCCGAAAAGAAACTATACCCTTTTTCACTAAACCCAAAATATTTTCCAAACAAAATGCCCAACTTCCAGCATTTTTTAACTTATTTCTCAAATTATGTTTTTTAAAATCATGTTTTAAAAATAGGACTTGAATTAATTTATTTTAAAACATTAAGGTGTTTCAAAAACATCAATTTCATGAAATGACCGTGTTTGAAACAACTGGGATTTGGTAAATAACTCGTTATATAAATATAAGCTTACTTTTCACACTCTTTGCCAGCTTAGGTCCAGCCTATTTCTAAAATTTTCAAATTGGTCCAAAATAAGCCATCAAAACCATGCTGGCACACGCAGAATCCTTGGCTCTACTTGTTTCACATTGCCTGGAAAATCTCTCTCATCAAACATTAATACATCTACAAGTACAGATAATCCACAAAGAAATTTAGAAGGAAAATAACAAAGAAACAAATCAATGGAGTGACAGAAAATAAATGTAACCTTTAATGACAATAAATAAAAGAATTTGATACAATTAAATCTTTAATTCTTTGTCCTTTCTTGGTTCATTTCCCCTCCATAATTTTTATCCCCAACCATCACAACCCTCCCCCCATGTTCTTCATCTCAACTTCATCACCAAAGTATCCTTGTCAGCTCCAAAGAATCCAAACATAAACAATGAAAAAAGGAAACAAAAGTGTACATACATGATACATGTTAAAAAAAAACAAAAAAACGAGAACTTGCCTTCTCTGTCTCTTTTTCCTCCACACGGTTGCTTGCACTGCTGTCGTCTTTTTAATCTACGTTTTTCTATCATCTGCAGTCCATTGAATCAAACGTGTCTGCGAATCCTGTTGGCTTTGAAGGAATGCTTGACTGGGTGTGACTGTACGACAGATCATTAAACATTGCGGAAGTACCTTCATCGGCTTGCCATCTTTGAAGGGCCTGTGGAAGACTCATGTGGAGGTCAATGCCATAGCCATCTTCATCTTCGTGCGAAGAAGGTTTCCACTGCTCAACAAGAGGACCCAACACGTTAACAGCGTGGCCCATATCAGGTCTTTGAAATGGCTCACGAGCAGTACAGTGACCTGCCAGCTCAGCGACCTTGCTAATGCTCTCGAAAGTCTCTTCATCGGGGTCAAGAGTTTGGTCGATAGCCTTGTGAATGTTTTCCTTGTTGATTAGGACTCTTCGGAACCAGGTGACTAAATGAGCCCTCTCGTCTGGCACTGTCTCATCTAGTGCCTTTCTTCCTGTAATGATCTCCATCAAAACGACGCCGAATGCATACACATCCACTTTTGTAGTCACTCTTCCCGTAGCTGTTGTTAAACGAAATAGAGTAAGTAGATTTCACGGGTAACTCAATAGATGTTGAAAGAGCAATTTTAATCTCCGTTAAAATTTGCAAAGCCAAATAATTTAGACTCATACTTGATAAAGCTCCAAAATACAGCAATGACCATGAAAGAAGAAAAAAGATGTATAACTAAAAAGATGACTAATGCAGTTTGTATTAGATTACAAACAGAATTAATTGGTTCACAACTAGAACTGAAAAATATAATATTAACAACTTTAATTTCCCATTGACACAGATAACGTCACAGATTTCTGGACAAAATACTCAGCAAAGAATATCTACAAGTACCAAGAAAAAGAAAGAAAGAAGGCATAAGTGAACAAAATGCACTGGTTCATAATGATATTATCCAAATGATCAATCATCTGAGTATAAAAGAAAGAAATTGCCAAGGAAACAATATTATTGCAAGAACATAAGATTTTAGCAAAGAGTGCTAATTCTATTTGTGCTTTACATAACTTCTGACACAAAGTATGATGTCTTAATTCCATAATTGAAAGTTGAGTGCAATGCCAAAACAAAATCAGCAATAGACATTCTAGTACTAAGGCATTAATTCATCAGAAGACAACCATGCCTAGAGCAGTTGATGCATCTATACGGAGAGGAACAATTAAAACATCTAGTTTTTGATTGACCATAAAAATAAAAATCCTATACAATATCCAATTTAAATGTTTATAAAGACGATGAAGTAAGAAACAGAAAAGAATGTATTTACCAGCATACTCAGGTGCAAGATACCCAAATGTTCCAGCCAACCGCGTCTCAAGAGAATACTTTCCATCGGGTGCATTCTTTACCAAACCAAAATCGGCAACCTTGGCTCTCATGTCATCCCCAAGAAGAATGTTAGATGGTTTTAAATCTCTATGAATGAAGCTCTGTTGTGCTAAGCCATGTAAATACTCAACCCCTCTAGCCATATCCAATGCTATTGTCACCCTCTGCTTCCAAGTAAGAGGAGAGTACCCAAGTTCGCGCCACTCAAATAAATGCTGGGCCAAAGTCCCCTGCGGCATGTACTCATATACCAAAAGTCTCTCATTGCCATTGATACAGTACCCTAGAAGAGCAACCAAATGTCTATGCCTAACTTTTGTTAACACTGCAATTTCAGCTTGAAACTCATTCATTCCTTTGGTACCCATTGCCCCAGATTCCATCCTCTTCACAGCAATTATAGTCCCATCATGCAACACCCCTTTGTAAACAATTCCAAATCCTCCTCTGCCTAACACATTTTCTTCACTAAAGTTGTCAGTTACTTGACGAAGTACTTGGATCGAAATTGCAACATTCCCACCTTCAAAGATGGGCATGTCACCATGATCACCACTGCTCTGACTCTGTAATTCACTCGGGACACCACCGTACCCATTCGCAACACTCACTACCGCAGACTTAACCATTTCTGACCCTTTTTCAGAACCATCGACTCTCCCAAATCTCTGATGTCGTTTCTTGACATAGCATTTGTAAGATACAAACAACATAACCCCAACAAACACCACAACAGCAATAACCACACCAGCAATCATACCTGCCGATACAGAAGAAGACCCATTTGATGTCCCCGAAGGACTTCCACCGGGTGTGGTCGAATTCGATCCAGACCCAGAAGGTCCACCATTTCCTCCACTTCCAGTGGTAATGTTCTTCCCAAGAAACAGATTGCCAGGGGAACTAAACTTCACAGTTGATTGAAAAACCGGTATTGGTCCACTAAGATTGTTGTTTGACACATCAAGAACCTGAAGCTGAGGCAGAGTTGTCAAGACATCAGGAATTGAACCCGTGAGATTGTTATCATTCAAATACAAACTCTTCAATGAGGTTAGATTCGCAAAGGCGGGTGAGATCGAACCCGAGAAGTGTTGCTTCCCAAAATTGACAATTATAACATTGCTCTGCGAATCACAGGTAATGAAAGTCCATCCAGAACAAGCACTATTGCCTTGCCAAGACTGAGCAAGAGTTGAAGGATACCCAAGAGCCCCAGCAACAGCAAGAAGAGCAGTGACCTGTGGATCACAAGGCCCTGGAGTGCTCTTGCAGAAGCTATTTGTTAACCCGAGCGAAACAGTCACTCCAGGACGAAACGTTGGCATAGGACCTTGCAATTTGTTGTTCTGCAAAGAAATGTTAGCAAGTTTAGGAAGACCCATCAACGACGGAGGCAAAACTCCAGTGAATTGGTTGTCCCGGAGCTGCAAATCGAAGACATTGGTGCATTTCGACAAATCTGGAATCGGACCCGTGAAGGAATTCCCGTGAAGCCACACTTGGTAAAGCTGGGTCATCGAAGACAACACATCAATAGTCCCAGAAAAACCATGTACCTGATTGTTAAGCCACAAATTGGTAATCTCCGAACCCCTAAAAGTTGAAGGTAATGAGCCATTAAGATTGTTATAAGAGAGTCGAAGGTTCTGCAAATTAGGAAACGAATTGAAAATATCCGGAATCGAACCCACAATATTTGCGTTGCTAGCGGAGAAATTTCCCAAACTACTCGACTGAACGAGATCTGAGGGAATAGTCCACGGATCTAGATTTATGTTGTCACTGAGACTCATAGTCTGTAAATTGGTGAGGCCGGAGAAGAAATCGGAGGGAATGGAAGTGAAGTTGTTGGCGTCGAGAAAGACTTGTTGGAGGGAAGAGAGATTTGCGAAGGTGGGTAAGGGGCCGGAGAGGGAGTTGCGCTGGAGTGAGATGGATTGGAGGTTGGACAGCTGGTTGAGAGTGGAGGGGAGAGAGCCGGAGAGGGATTTGGAGGGGAGGTTGATGGCGGTGACGCGGTTGGAGGTGTCGCAGTTGATGCCGGACCAGGTGCAGGGGTTCGTGCCGGTCCAGTCGGAGGGGGGAGTGGAGAGGGTGGTGGCGAACTTGCTCATCACGGCGGCGTCGTCGGCGGAGGTGAGGGTGAGGAGAGCGAGGGAGATGAAGAGGGTAGAGAGAGGAAGGAGGAGGGTGTTTTGGGATTCCATTGTTGGGTTTCTTGGTAGTGTCGTTGTCGAGAAGATATAAATGTGTAAGTGGGAGGAGGGAGAGAGAGAGATAGACGCGGGGAAGCGTGTGTTGTTTGGACAGGCGGTGAAAGTGAACGATTCGAGTGTGTTGTACGTTAGCACCATCGGTCACTCCTAAGAGTATCTCAAACGATTCACTTAATTTTTTATTAAATTTGAATAAAAAAATAATTATTTTTTCAATTTAATAGAGAATGTTTTAATAATTGATTTTCATCAACTTGAGGAGGATAAGCGAGAATAATTGTCGAAGCTTTTCTCGTGTGTTCTTTGGGCTCCTTCAAGTAACCCGACTAGGTATTTTCTATGATACTAATGCCTTCATTTTTATTGTCTGCTAATTCATAGAAGTATCTAAACAAACTGTTTGGATAGTAATGGTTTTAATCACCATTAATAGTAGTGGCAGAGCCAGATGCTTGCAACAAGATACCTAACTGACTAATCTATCATGAACTGTTTGAAACTTTTAGTAGTCGACCAGTTGGTCAACCGGCTGGGTAATCGGTTGGTTGACCGATTCTTTTCTTCCAACGGTTACAAACAGTAATTTGCTGAAATCTGTATCCTGTTCTCAGTTTGATGATTTTTTTGTTCAAATCTCAATTTAATATTAGTTTGGTGAAATCGTTGGAGCTTCAAAAAGTGACTTTTTCACCAAATTTCAAATTTGATGTCAGGTTTGGTGAACCGTTAGAGATGGTCTAAAATTAACAAATCCTTAATATATATTTTTAAATTTTATTTTTATTATTATTTTTTATCATATAATATATTTTAATATACATTTTTAACATATTCATTACAAATGCTCTAACTAAAAATCTCAAAAATTATAATTAAAATAATATTATTACTAAATAAAAAATAAACACATCCCTTTCGAAGAGCATATATAATAAAAATTTTCATTTATTTTTATATAGAATCCAATTTTTTAGACATTGGAGCAATTTGACAACTTCGTTTTTTTTTTTTTTGACTTTTTATCGAGTTTTTTTTAAAAAGTCACAAAAAAATCATTAAAAAAGCTAATTTTTTTACGAAAAAAATTACCAAAAAAATAAAAAAATAAATTTTTTACCAACTTCTCAAAAGGTATTTTAAGATGTTTTATTTAAGAATTTTGTTTGGTTTGTTTTTGAGAGAGTAGTTTTTGAAAATTGTTTTGGGGAGAGAGTTTAGAAATTTTTTTGATTTGTTTGGTTGTGTATTTTGAAAGTAATTTTGGAGTTTGAGAGTTTGTAATGATTTGATGTTTTGTTATAATTGAGTAGATGTGTGTGAGAGAAAAAGTAATTGAAAAGGAGAGAGGAGAGAGGAGAGAGAAAAAGTGATTGATTGATAAGTAAGAGAGAGAAAGTGATTTTGAAAAATTTACAAACCAAACAAAATTTCTAAAATTTTTTTCCCAAAATCACTCTAGAAATCCAAACCAAACATACCCATGTTTTAGCTTTTCAATTATAAATATATATTACTTTAGAATATTTGTATGATTTTATAATTGAGGAGTCAATAATTTTTTTACAATATAAATATTTTACTTAATTTTCCTTTGGTAATACACTTTTTTTTTTTTAAATGACTTTTTGACTAATTTGGAATTGAAAGTTTGTTTCATTTAACTTTTTTGATTTTTTTTAACTTTCATGGGAGAAAAAATAAAATAATTATGATTTAAATATGATATTTTATCTTATTAATTTATTTAATTTAATTTAATTTATTTTTATATTTTTTAATCTAAAAAATGACCGTCAAACGAAGTTTTAATATTATATTATCTATTTTACCATTTTAGTTACATCAAAACAACATATTATTTTCTTATGGTTAGGTTATATACGTTAAAATTAATCAAAACTGTGATGCCACTACATCCTCTACCATATTCCATGTGATTACCATCCAACAGCTGGTTCATAACATAACATAAGAACTTATTTTCTCACTTGGTGCTTGTGTTTGAATCTTCACAATTGTTTTAACAGGTTAAACTTACTCTTTAACATTTAAAATATGTAGTGAGATTATAGTTTTGACTCCAATGTAAGTGCACTGGAGTCGTCCTCAAATAATCTGTGTGATGTTGAGGGATGTACTCTCTAATGAATATATGATGTAACCTTCATCCATATTTATTTATAGATCGTATAAGAAAAATTATTTGGTGGTCTAAAAACATTATTTGATAATGTCTCTCATTAATTATGAAATATTATTTTATTTGTTTTTGCTATTTTTTTATGATTTAACATAAAATTATAGATCTCACTTTTTACCAGTCAAAATACATTTGAAAAATTACGTGGCTACATTCCAAAAAAGAAAAGTTAGGGATCATAAATTTTTTTTTATAAAAATGATCATGAAAGATTTATGATCCTTGAATTATCTTGATTAATGTGTGATATTTTATTCTAAGTGTAATCTAAGAGTCACAAAGCCTTTATGATTATTTTCATAAAAGATTTTTTATGATATCTAGCATTGCTGATTCTAAAATTACCAAATAAGTTCACGAAGCATCCGAAGTCTCTTCCCATGCAACCTTACCACTACTCACTGCCACATCACCGTCGTGCATCTTTTACAACGCTAACTTCTATGTTCTCCTAGACCATCTCCAACGGTTCATCAAACTTGATATCAAATTCAAAATTTGATGAAAAAGCTACTTTTTTGAGCTCCAACGGTTTCACCAAATCGATATCAAATCCAGAATTCAGCAAATCTGGTACCAAAATGAGAACAGACGAAACATTTTACCAAATCACTGTTCCTAACCGTTGGGAGAGACCAACCGGTCAACCGCCTAAAGGTTCAAACGGTTCGAAGAAAAAGGTTCAACAGTAAAAAAAAAAAAAAAAATTTTTTGCCTAACCGGTCGACCACTAAAAGGTTCAAAAAGTTCAAAAAAAAATCAAAAAAACAAAAAAATTTTTTTTTTTTGCTTAACCGGTCGACCAACCGGTTGTCCCCGGCACAAATTTGATGAAAGTGCACCGTTGGAGCGAGTGGTATCAAATTGATAAAATTGGTCATTTTTTACTCAAATTTAGTGAAAAATCTGATTCACCGTTGGAGATGCTCTTACTACATTTTTACTCAAATTTACTCTAAAATAAACACTATTAAACTCCAGTACAACCATACAAACGCCATGTTGGACATTCACAAATTCATGAAAATAGTCACCAGCCAACCAAACCCCCCCAAATGTCTTTTAAGAGCTCACGAATCTTCTATGAGCAATGCACATCCTCGTGTTGAAGAGATAACATGTTAACCAACGAAAACCATGGTCTGGCAGGGAAATCTGTGGATGGCACTATTCCTTGACCCTAGACTAGTAACAAGATGTCTTGTAGTAATATTCTGTTGTACAAGTTATAGAGCAAACAACAATGCCATTACTACAGCAGAAATTGAATTAAAAAATAAGTCCTAACTGAAAAAAAAGCAACTCTTCAACGACGCATGCCTTAAAATATATATATAAAAAAAAAAAGTCATGACCAAATCCAATTAAGCAAAGGGTCATGTTACATCCCCTAAAAACATCCCCCTAATTTAAAATATATATAAAAAAAAAAAAGTCATGACCAAATCCAATTAAGCAAAGGTCATGCTACATCCCCTAAAAACATCCCCCTAATCCCCCTAATTTCCATATCAAGTAAAAAAAAAAAAAAAAAGGAAAAAGTTGCCAAAATTGGAAATTAAGGGGATTAGGGGAGAAGTTTTTAGGGCTCCAAATCATTTCCCTTAAGGAAATCACCACTCATGAACCAGTTAATCTCGCTCATACAAGCTTAACCAAAAATATAAAAATATAAAAATAAAAAACAAGAAGCACTCATACAAGCTTACACATGTTTGATTCACAAGATTAATAGTAGGGATGGAAATTTGAACCCGGCCTGACGGGGACCCGATCCCTCGACCCCGATTATGATGGTTTTTTCCCGAAAAATACCCTCGTGGGGACGAGGATGGTATTCGAAATTAAATCCCCGACCAGTTTCGGGCCGGGGACGGTGATCAGTGTTCAAACCCCGGCCCGTCCCCGTTCCCGTCTCCAGCCCTGTCCCGAACCCGGAAATTCCCCGAAGTAAAATTACTATTTTACCCCCTCTTTATATAGACATATAAACCCCCATTTCCCTTACAACACTGTGCACCTCCTCACACACTCATCACTGCACTGTCTCTCATCTCTCTCTCTCAAATCCTCTTCATCTCCGATCCTCCTCTCTCTCCTCCGCCGATTGAGCCACCACAACTCCACCACTGTTTGTGGCAGTCTGGCAACTCCACCACTGTTTTCCTCTCTCTCTCTCGATCGATTTGTTATATATATATATATGTTAGATCTGATTTTTTTTTTTTTAGCTCATCAGATTGTTGTTGTTGTTGATGTTAGATCTGATTTTTTTTTTAAGCTCATCAGATTGTTGTTGATGTTAGATCTGATTGTTGTTGTTCTTGAAGAAATTTGGAACTGATTTTTTTTTTTTCTTTTGGTTAGGGACTTTTCGGGGTCGGGGAAACCCGATCCCCGTTAAAAGGCGGGGGCAGGGGCAGTGATGAGCTCCCCATTGGGGTCGGGACCGGGGACGGAGGGGTTTCCACCATCGGGGATTGGGGATGGGGAGCGTGATCCCCGGCCCTGCCCCGCCCCGTTGCCATTCCTAATTAATAGTGAAGTATTAATAATCCTATTAAATTAGTGTGATATTCACCATCCAATTGGATTAATATCCATTGGATTAATAATCTCACCCCTACCCCTTTACTAATAATCCTACAAATTTGTTAGATTAATTATCCATTGGATTAATAATCCTAAACCAAAATGTTAAAACAAACATAGGATAATTGGGTCTACGGATTAATAATCTCAATCCATGCTCTAATCCACCCAATCAAACATGCCTTATAGGCTCTATTTCTACAAGCAAACTCCTCCAACCTCCTCATAAAAGCCATGAGATTTTTGTTCGAAGACCCACCTTCCTTTACAGCTTCCCTTGCCAAGTCCCT